TGAACTATACTCTAAAAATAGGATCCTACAACTCCGTACTGTGCCTGTAGTGGTTGCGAACGCTTGTCGATTAGTTATTGCATGAAGAGCACAAATCTTATGAGATTATGTGCCACAATGCGCCCCATCACTTAAATCTGGAAAACGTGGTTGACGGAGGAAGTATGAGCAGCATCAGAAATGCTTCTTGTTTTCCAGCGATCAATTCGATAGAAAAGACATAAAGCATCACAAACGATACATCACAACAGAACTCCAAAATCAACATGCAAAGATCAGAGCGGGTGATCCTGAAAGACAAATGAATCGACAGGTTTGGAGAATGGCATGTTTGAAATCCGTGGCGGCTCACGTTATCGACGAGCATCCCATCAGCACTAATTTTCGTAATTCAAAACTCGTTACTCATAAGTATTATATGGCTATTACCAACCACACTCATAAAAATATGCACATTTGTTTATAAAATAAATGTGTAATCAACCAAAAACGTTCTCCCGTGGATACAATCGTGAAATGTGTTGCAAAAAGGTATCGGTGTCATTATTCTGCCAACACAGCGTCGCACTTTGTGCTCTCAGAGTGCTACAAAATTCGCACTTTCTAAGTAAGATCTATGTCAGCACAAGTGTACGTTTACAGCATTAAAAAAACATAAAAATGAATTCCTTTCAATAGTTGTCATATTTATCTACATGGTATTCTTCCGAAGTGACTGTTTGAATTGATTCCAAGTGGTATCAATGGCGGGCCGCTATTTTCACTTTGCTGTTCGCTTGCGTGCTTCGTGCTATCATTGCCTTCTGTTTATTTCTAACCTATCTCCGCTGTGTTACTCGTCGTATTTGTTCGTAAATGTTTTCAATATGTGAAAATCTCATCATACATTGAATAAAATAACTCATGGAACAAGTAGACGGACCATTTATCGGCAGTTTCAGAGTTATTCCCCAACGGAGTGTCCACAACTACAACCTGAGGTGCCACTGCAGGAATCAGACAACGAAAACCAACAATCCCATGGTCAGTAAGATAAATTGTACATAATCCTATTTGCTTTGAGGTCCGCAGCCCACATTGGAACTAAGTGATGCTGCTACCGACAGGTGCGATAGAAATTTGGGCTCCCGTGTCAACGAGAAACCGAGTGCGTGTATAATAATCTTGCACGTAAAATAGGCGGCCAACCTGCGGGGGCGAGCCGGCGAGTACGGCCGCAGTTACTCTCCGGTGGTGGTGTTTCCCGCGATGTAAGTACAAGGGGGACTTACATCTGCGGGCTCCTGGTCCATAAGTTTTATGAAACCAGCGGTAACCGTCTCTAGAAAATTTCGTGCGTTTAGACTTAGAACCTTGAGCCGAAGGGCGGGTGGGCTTCGCCTTATTGCGCCTACGGCGAGCCCGGTCCCGAGAGACCTGTGAGGTGGGTTGGGGGACCCTATCATTAAAGGATAGGTGCGCATGAATGCAACGTAGTTTACCGCGCTGTGCAGAACGTGGCAGGGTAGACTGATGCAAGGTCCTTGCAACGAGCAAAGACTCGGCGTTGCCGACCTGGGCCATAACTTTGTCTACGATGGAAGCGACCTTATCGAGCTAGGTGCCCTCCAGGAGGGCTGTTACCGTGGTCTGAACATGAACCGGTGAAGACTCAATCCATAGCTCCCTGACGATGGTTTGTCTACTCACCCCCAATAAAAGAAAACTTTCGAAGAAAAACGTTCTAAATTAAGAGTTCTTCATCTTACTTCTCGCCTCGAGCGGGAAAACCCTACTACTACTTTTTCAGCACTATCTGTTCTAGATAGATTTCAACGAAAATGAAAACACAAATACCTTTCAAAGACCCGGGACATTTGAGCAACAGCCTTGTACCCCTGAATCACTTCAAGACTTCAAGACATCACGAGATCGCATTCCACCTCGTATGCGACACGAATTCCGGTGAGTTGTGTCATGCGCTTGTTCTCTGTAAATCATGTTACATAAAACTCAACGCTCGGTACGGGCGTCTTTCTTCATACGGTCTAATTCTGGTAATCCAAGCGGTAAGATTTGTGGACTACTTTGGTTACGCGTCGCCGCTCAGTCCGCCTTATGTACTAATATAGTTACACGTTTACAACAATTGAACTCAGTACATCCACATTTATCTGTGTCCCACGAAACAAAAACCAAAAACACTAATTTTTCTTGACTTAAAAGTTACAAGGCAGATAAATGGGACACTACAACGCTCATTCTACCGAAAAGCGACATGAAACGGTCAATACCTACACTTTTCCAGCCTTTACCCTAGGATTTACGAACGTGGGCTTGTGAGAACTTTATTTCATTGGGCGAGAAACATTGGTCCTCTAGATACACTAAGGGAAGAAGAAGATTTCCTAAGGAGAACACTACTAAAAATTGGTTACCCGGAAAGGTTTATAGATATTCATAGTAGACCATTCCCAAAATGTAACCCAACCCAAAATGTCAATAAAATGGGCCACCTACATCAAGCTTAGGTTCAAAGGTGATCACATTGACAATGATGTGCGCCACAAGTTGAAGTCAGCTTTAGAATGCACATTACCAGCTGCTCAATTCAGACCCATTGCCTCCACTCGTGGAATTGATATGGAAAAACGCAAAAAAACGTAAACTTGGCTGGCAAACCAGTTCCGTCTTACACACTGTATACCGGTTCACTTGCAGTTGCGGTGACGCATACATAGGCAGAACAATCGTCAGCTCTCACAACGGATGGTCGAACATATTGTAAAGTGGCTGGTGAAATCGAAAACGCCACCAACAGTTGATGGCCAAGTGATTACAAGAAATCCAGGATCATCTGTTGCAAAACATCTGATGGCAACAAGATACACGGTTGACCGCAATTCGTCTATAAAACTATTATTACGTAATCGCAATGATAAATTTTGGCAATTAGTGAGGCATTGCTTATTTGATTACATAACCCCACCTCGTGCGCACAGAAGTTTTTGATACAATCAATCCACTTACCCCTGGATTTGATCTTCTACTTTTAAATTTAGTAATCTTTGTAGTAGTGATCT